ATAAAGATTTTCCCAGGTGTCTAATAGTGATCTATTTATGCTTTGAAATAGATGAAATCTGATTGACCAATCAATAACAAGACCACTTTCCTGTTCAATCCTGTTTCTATCAATGCAATTACAACAATCAAATGCATCGGTTATGACAGAACCAACAAGAATGTACTTTTATAGAAAAATACACTTGGGACTGAATTGAGAATTACATTTCCAAGAAAAATTCCTGATTTATGAAAAATGCTCAGGGCCCAACTTATGAGGAAAAAAATAGCTCTGTCAACTCCAAAGTGTATTACTGAATCCTCTGAGGCAAAGACAGATTGCCCCAGGTGTCTGGGTGGAGATGCCAAGTCATGTGAATTAACCAGGAAAGTGTGACAGACTAAAGATCTGGGGATGGCAAATGTGTTCTGTCTAATATTAGCTTCTCAAAAGTTAATATTGCTTCAGGGTCTGCAGGAAATAGACTAAAAAGGTGACTATTTTACAAGACCTTAACCTTCCTGTGGCCATCCAGACTAGACAGGGGCTAGAACATCTGTAGGAATTTCTCGGGTGAACATCAATTACCAGGATTCTGATCAGAACAAGCAAACCAGTCAGCAGAAGGAAGTAAGATAGGGCAAGCAAATGTGGAAGTCATTACTGGTGTGCTGTGCTTCAAGTAACATTGGGCTCACAGAAGGGGCCTTTTAAATGAGGGTGTACAGAACATGACTCCACATTCAGAATTCTGACAGCCATACAACTTGCAAGAATGCATAAAACAAGAAACATGGATATAGACATTTTGCTGAATATAATTAATTCCCATGTGGGCATAGTATGTAGAAAAATGAGAAGAAGCTTAAAGATTAATTATTAAAAGGAGGTTGAGGAGGAAAAAAAGAAGTGGAATAACTAAATGCAGATAAACACAATTAAAGGCTCACATGACATTTTGGGTAGCACCACTTATGGACTTATTACGATTTCATCTACCAGAAGAGATGACGACGACGATGACAACTTGCCTACGCAACACACAAGCCGGAAAAGCAGCACTCAAACCCTGTTTGACTGCAGTCATCACTGGTTCCTATGTCAAGGGCTAAGCCTAGAGGCCAGCAAAGCAGGACATCTTATCTTTCTGGAGTATCTCACTATGCTGTGGGTACTTTGTAACTGTGCAGCCTTTGGCTCTTCAGCAAAACAAGAGAACCACAGATGGTTGACAATCAGGAATGGTAACAAAAGCCTGACAGTACTTAGAATCAATGAGAAATTGTCAACAAAGCCAGCCAGGAAATACTCTCTGTATACTGGCTGAGGCCTCACAACTACTCAAAATTGTATGTTCTACTAACTCCCTTCAGTCCAAACATCTCCACCATCTCCAGCTCCTCCTCATCCTATCAGTAGCTGAATTCAAATCTCCTTGCAAAATTTGATGCACCTCTGTATATAATACTGTACGGTTGCCCATCCATCCTCTGATTCAAATGAAAAGTTTAATGGAAACAAATACCAATAATTTTTCCCTTTACACATGGTTAGCTTGATTATCATTTGTTAGCATTTATTAAGTAGAAAGCACTAGGGAACTTTAAGCATGGAGCAGAGCAGTGGAGGACATAATGTTCACTCTTTGAAAACTGGGAAAAAGTAGTACAGAGTAGCTAGACTCTAGTTAGGAGGGCATGATCATTTAACAGCTGTGCCTTAGTCCCTAGGCAATTATATGTGTACGCTTCTTGTAGAAAAGAGGTAGAACTGAGAGTGGAGGTCAGATGTAGAACACTGAAAGGAGAAGAGAGAGGAGGGGAGAAGGAGTCCCTGTAATCCTACCACTTGGGAGGTTTAAGAAGGAGGATCATTTCAGCCTGGACAATATAGTGAAACCCCACCCCAACACACATACACACACGCACAAACACACACACACACACACACATATCCAGATACAGTGGCTCCCACCTATAATACTTGGTTCAAGGCCAGTCTAGACAAAAAAGAAGACCTTAACTCTATCAGCCAGTAAATCAGCTAAGTGTGATGGCGCACATCTGTAATCTCAGCTTTGAGGGATTGTGGTTTCAAGCAGAGGTGGTTCCCTCTGGCACAACAAGGAGAAAACGGAAGCTTCCATTAAAGATGCAGTTAAGAAATGGCCACTGCAGTAGGAGATGGGGCCAAACTCAGGTTGTTAGTGGTGTTGGTGGTGCTAAGTTTCTTAGTGTTGTTTGTAGTATGGAGTATCAAACTTAAGACTTTGAGCATGTGCCGGGCACTGGTGGCTCACGCCTGTAATCCTAGCTACTCAGGAGGCTGAGATCTGAGGATCCAGTTCAAAGCCAGCCCGGGCACAAGAGACCGTGAGACTCCTATCTCCAATAAACCACTAGAAAACCGGAAGTGGCGCTGTAGCTCAAATGGTAGGGTGCTCTCCTTGAGCTGAAGAGCTGAGGGACAGCACCCAGGCCCAGAGTTCAAGCCCCACGGCTGACCAAAAAAAAAAAAAGACCTTGAGCATGCGAGGCAAGCCCTCTTCCACTGGACCATACCCCTAGCCCTAAGACCCGAACTTCAGCTTCTCTCTTTTCTGCTCACCTACATTCTTTGGTTTCCAGTATTCCAAGATGGGCAGAAATGCAACATGGTATTAAAGTAGGCAGTGAAGGATAAAATACCTATTTGGCCACGGCTAAGAAGTTCTGAGTGATGGCATCTAATGGCAATTTGATATTAGTAATCCATAGGTATGGACAGTAAGAAGTCTCCCGGAGGAAGACAGGTAACCATTAAAGGGGGTCAGATGTTTTCAACATGTACCAGGTCAGCATTTGCCAAAGTGGTAGAGGACTTGCTTGAATCTGGCGCTTCCATGAGCAAATGTGGCCTTCTTCTGGCTCTCCATATCTGCCTCTATTAAGGCACCAAACCTAAGGTACAGAAACCGTACCCACTGGCTTTATTCCACAGCAGTGCACATACCCTTTTTTTTTTTTTTTTGGTCAGTCATGGGGCTTGAACTCTGGGCCTGGGCGCTGTCCCTCAGCTCTTCAGCTCAAGGCTAGTGCTCTACCTCTTGAGCAGCAGCGCCACTTCTGGTTTTCTGAGCGGTTTATTGGAGATAAGAGTCTCACAGAGTTTCTTGCCTAGGCTGGATTTGAACCTCAATCCTCAGATCTCAGCCTCCTTAGTAGCTAGGATTACAGGCATGAACCACCATGCCCGACAGCACATACCTACTTACTTAGAAAATGACTAGAAAGGGATGGGAACACAACGAGGAAGCAACAATGCTTGATAAGAAATGTACTCGTTATCTGCCCATGTAATTGTAACTCCTCTGTACGGTATTCTCACAATAAAAAAAATAAAATTAAAAAGAAAAAAAAAGAAAATGACTAGAAAATGACTGCTCCACATCTTTGCACTTCCACACACCAAGAGCCCACCAAATCAGTTTTCATAAAATGAGTGAAAAGGAAAAGTCCCTAGTATAAGTTATGAGCTGATAAAAAAAATGTCAGGTTGAGAAGAAAAATAACTAGTAAACATTTTCAATGGTCACAGTCTTTTCTGGGAATGTAAGATTAGTGGCACTGGACATCTGTGGCTCATACCTGTAATCTTAGCCACTCAGAAGGCTGACATCTAAGGATCTCAATTTGAAGCCATTTGGGGTAGGAAAAATCTGAGACCTTCTCCCTCCACCACCCCTCCATGGCTTGAACTCAATGGCCCTGAGCTACCAGCACCTGGCCCATAATTGAGTTTCTAAAGCCATTATTCTTTTTGTTACTGGTGGTGGTGGGCTTGAACTTGGCCTGGGTGTTATCCCTGAGCTTTTCCATTCAAGTCTAGCACTCTATCACTTTGAGCCACAGCATCATTTCTGGTTTTCTAGTGGTTCTTTGGAGATAAGAGTCTTATAGACTTTCCTGCCTGGGCTGGCTTTGAACCTGATCCTCAGATCTCAGTCTCCTGAGTAGCTTGGATTACAGGCATGATCCACCAATGCCAAGCAAGTCTGTGAGATTCATCTCCCATTAACCATAAAAAAAGCTGGAATGGAAGTATAGCTCAAGTAATAGAACACCAGCCTTGAGAGAAAAAGCTAACCAACAGCACCCAGGCCTTGAGCTCAAATCCCACTCTTCCTCTGATGGCCCAGCTTCTTATGTCTTTTTTATTCCCTCACTCAAAACATAATGAAAACAGCAGGGGCTGGTGTCTCATGCCTGTAATCATGCTGAGATCTGAGGATGGCAGTTCAAAGCTAGCCCAGGAAGGAAAGTCCATGAGACTCTTTTTGTTTGATTTGTTTTATTTTTGGGTCCGGTCATGGGGCCTGAACTCTGGGCTTGGGCGCTGTCCCTCAACTCTTCAGCTCAAGGCCAGCGCTCTACCAC